CAATAGGTGCAAGGTCGTGCGGCGCACGACGGCTCCGAGTCAATAAGGCGCCGTGCACTCATTATAACAAGCAATCCGTCTCGCTGCCTACAAAAAGGAACATTCTTGTCTTATTTGAACGCACCCTCGAGGGTGGACTCAGGTAAAACCTGGGAAGCTACTGATTAGTATTTGAACCTAGGCAGTCTCGAAAATGTTCTCGAAAATGGTGTTTAAAATCAGTCTTCAGAGGACTGGAGTCATCGCTGGCGATGGCTGATTCAGGCTCGACAGGGACCATATGGTAGTGACTTGTTCGTTCCGTTGGTTGTGGTGGAGCTATATTGTCAGACATTCATGGTTGTCCGTGGCGAAACACCCCAGTCGGTTGAGATGGCGAATTCAGCGAGCCTTTAAGTTACTTGAGGTTTCCAGTGGGCCCCTGGAGCCTCAAAACTGCATATTCATATCCTTCCTTGGTTTCTCCCTGGGGGCGCCTAATGTCGACATCTATATAACGTAGTGTTAGCAGGCCGGATTGGTGGCCTGGTCTGTTTAGCAGTGTTTAAGTGACTTTTCTGCTATCTGTGATGTGGCCTCTGTTGATGGCAGATTTTTCACCATTCCTACAGGACGGGGACGTGGAATATGAGTTTCTGAGAATCTGGTTGACTCAGTCTTAGCTCGTCGGCTCGACCGATAGGTTAGCGGCCTCTTGGATCTTGGATAGAGGTTGGGACGTTTAACTGTGTTAAGGCAGCCTCAAGCTTGCCAGGTTTGAGTTCCCCTTCCTCCTAGCGCACTCTCTTATTTGACCGAAAGGCTTATTTGACCAGGGCAGGATATGGTGTTGAATGGCTTTGTCTCTGGTGTTCTTTTCTGTCTTATTTGAACGTCAAAATACGTGATGCTGATGCGTATGTAATAGTAAACACCGGTGCCATAGACGCATTCGGCAAATTGCTTAATCCTTATTTTGTGTCTGCTATTGCAATCGTAGTAATTTGTGCAATATTTCTCACTTTTGTGATTTGTTTTAGTGATTGCTTGTTATTATCGTTATTCTACATAAAAAGGTAAGTGCAGTTACACAATATGTTAAACATAGGTTAACTTTTTAATTTGGAAAAGCAACGATTTGAGCATAAATACTCTAAAACGGTTTACCTCTTATGCTTGAATCATTGTCATATCCTTAGACGCGTAAATTACTAATATCTAAACCATTTTCCTCTTAAGTCTCCTTCACCGCTCCTATCTGCTGTAACACAAAGTACTGAAAACCTTTCTTCAATATTCATGTCTGTATTTTATAAATTAAGATACTTCATACAATCTGATATCTGCTCTTGATAGGAGTACAGTCAAGTAATGTAGAGAAATACTTTGCCTGTTAACCATTATTTAAAATAATTTATTTTATATTATTTCCTAATTGTTTTCATTAATGAATATGCTAATTGTTTCATTGTGAATTTTATCTCCAAGGTAATGAAGCATATATTTTTCTTTTGAACTTTATTAACATTACAGATATGGTAGGGTCAAATTTTGAGATCATTTCTGTACACTTTAAAAAATAATTATTTCTTTCGAATAATTTGTTGATGGAACCACGGAAGGGTAAGCTTTGTTTGGATAAAAACTGAACGGCATAGATAATTCTTTTAATAACATCGCGCCAATGCTTAGTTTCTTTTTTTTTAAATAAATTTTGAAATTCCAAATCAACAGTTTTATTCTTTTGAAATCGTTCTAAGAAATCGGACCAAAGGTGTAAAACCGGAAAATGCATTTTACTTTTTTTCGTCAACATTTAAGGGGCTTCAGTCATTAAATTCAGAACTACTCAACTTTACGTTGCTGAAATTGTTAAAAATTTTGCAACGAAAACAATAAACATAATTTGTTTCAGCAGAATTTAGCAACCAATCCCTTTTAACTCTTTCGTTGTTTGGCAAGATTCGATAAAAGTACATTTATTTGGTTTCTCATATTATTATGTGAATAATACTTTATTTTATGTTAACTATTAAACAGTTTGCCTTTAATATCCACTGCATAAAGGCGCTAGCTAGACATTTGCACAACTGCGCCGATCGGGCTTGGTACAGGCCTGGATACATTACTGTGGCAGTTCATACAATTTACAGTCGAATATGGTTTGAACACGACTGGATAACAGCACATTTCAAAATCAATATAGGAAACAACCTAAAGATTCTTTGAAAGGCCGAAAGGCTACCTGAGTAGATTTGTCAAATAGTGACACGATTTAGCATCTCACAGCTGTTGTTTTTTCCTGTGGTAATGCTTGAAAACTGTGCATGTGAGAATCTTGTTAATTCAAACGAAGATACTAGTCACCAGAATTTTTGTTATTTCTATAGTTACTCCTTAAATTCGTCTTATCTTTGGAAATGTGTGACGATCCATGTGTGTTGTCTGGAAGACGTAAATTGCCGTTAATAATTGCTCCACATCAAATGTAGAACAGTCGAGAAAAACTGAGTTGCCTTTTCAGATCTAAACCACATACAAACAACATTGGGAACATGTATTCATTAATAAAATATTTTTAGTTTGATACAATTTATTGGACTGTAAATTTTGGTCAAAGAACTTCAAAACACCACAAATACTATATGTGCAAGTGAACATTTAACAGAGAGATCGTTAAACCTTTTACCTGGTTCTTAAAATTTGTACATTTTACACTCCTAGTACATTCATTATAAAAGGTCTGAATTGTATGAAAACATGCCTTTAATTATAATTTTTAGAAGAAGTTTACTTTTAGAAAGGCTGCGTATTTTACTTTAGGTCATTTAGTCTTGTTATATAAAGATTTGAAAAATGAATTAGAAAGGAGGTGTTTGAACCTGGTCGTCTATATGCATTACCAGTGTCTTTAAACCGTTTCCAGATTTTTGGCATAGCGTCTGTGGCTACTTTCAGGAATTTCAAGATCTGTATCTGTGTCTGTCTTGCTTCCATTCTCCCAGTCGCACGTCATTTCTCACAGTCCCTCCAGATACATTCCCATCGAACATGTTCCACCCACCACAGGCTAAAAATGTTATACACCTACTGGACAGTCTTTGAAATTATAGTTTTAAGCGCTATCTTCTGCTTCTTTCCAAGCGTTCCGAAAGAAAGTAGGTTAAAAATTTTCAGTTTGTTTCTGTATAGCAAATGAGAAAACTACTGGACTACGTGAAAAGCTTAACTGGAGCTAACAACCGAATACTTTCAAGGATTTCACATACGAATTAACAAAAATTGTCTTTTTATAGTTGTTTCTTCATTTTTTCTTGCCCGTATATTTATATAAACAGACCTCAATTGTGTTATAGCCGAATGTTACAAGCCTTTCGTTTATACTTGGTTTAAATTGATACCTTCAACATTAAGCATGCATTACTATACACAGTAATTAAAAGCAATTATTATAATAACTTGCATTTTTTTAAAATTTTGTGCGTTTAGAAAAGTATTATCATTCCGTTTCTTTAGACAATAAAAAAAGTTCCTGGTTCTAAAATTTTATTATTATCGAAGTAATAAAAATGAACAGTTGAAAAACGTTTCATTTTACTGCAGTCTAACAACTAGATTATCATACTGGAATCTGAGTACCATCTATGAGTAATAAAAGACATGGATGAAAAGTGTTGAATTCCAGATATATAAATTTTATGATTAAGTTAGATTTTCATGATGATAAACTAACGATGTTTTTACGAAATATCTTTCTGAAACAGATAGCTGCAATTTTAACATGCATTTATCTGTCATTCCCCTGTACCCAGTTGTGATAACATTTTCTTAAAAAGGTAATTTTATCGCTTAATGTTTGCGTTTAGCACATAATGCTATATATTTTTCTTCGAACCATCTTCTGGCTCCAGGAAATCGTAAAATAGGCCTTCGAATGATTTTTTTTTCTCTTTTCGACTTACTTGTACAAGTGCGAATTAGTAAAATGGTCTACAGAACATAAATACCTCACCTCTATTTTAAAAACTACCTTGATTATAATCTGTAGCCAACTTGCTATCTTTCAGAATCCATAAAACTTTCTTCAAACTGTGATAAAGCAAATTTAAATCACATTCAGATTCACTGCAGAAAGGTTTCGCAAACGTGTCATTTCAATTTATATGTCTGTTTTGCTTATTGACTGAGAACCAACCATTTATCATCTAATTTCCTATTTATCTCCCTAACCAAAGGCATTTATGAATACCAAGCTATCTGAAAATATGTGCTTCGTGCTTTTGAAAGGTTATGTAAACGTAATTTAACTGTTTAAAATCTTTATTTAATCTCATCGTATAAGAGGTATTTCTGCCGCCTTCCTAGCGGGCCTTCGTGGTGTAGTGGTTCTGCACGCTGGGCCGGTATTCCAGAGGTACGTGGTCCGATTCCCGGCGAAAGCGTTTGCTCATTTTTCATATCTTCTGTTTTTCCAATTATTATAATGTCCCTACAATCTTTTAAATATTACCTGCTGATGGCCACAACAGTAGCCTCTTCTACTATAATATGCAAAAACATTTCAGTGCGGTTTAAGGATTAAATCTTCAAGCCGTATATGGAAAATGTTTTTAAATACCATAAAATGTATCAGAAGTTATTTCTCTAGGAATAACGATTGATCCAATTTTTGAAGTCAAATTTAGTTAGCGGCTCCGACACCTGTTGAGTTAAATTCAGGATATAACTATAACAATTCTAATGAACAAAATACCTTCATTCCTATATATATGGTAATTATTTGATATTTTTATGATTTACGTATATTTTAAATGCATTTAGGTTCAGATATTTTTTCTGTTTGTGAAGTTCCGGGATTTAATCTCTGATTCTCCTTCAAATAAAAACAAATAAAACTTCGGAGTAATAATCTATAATTTAAATCTATACACTAATAACACATGTATAAATCCAACTTATAGAGTTTAGAAAGATTTTTCTTAAGATAACTTTAGATGATATATAATATACTTTTAATTTAGCCACCACCTGAAGAATCTCAGCATGGACGCATAAAAGGCTATTACATTGGATTCAGAATGTCTTCTTCTTCGGAATCGTATACGTATAAACAAGTGGAGCATATACCTGATAAAGAACAGCAGTCCACTTATATAACAGGTCTCCAGCCATTCACGAAGTACGATATCGTGATAAAGGCCTATAATTCTGCCGGTTCTGGTCCAAAGTCTAGCAAAATTGTAGGAAAAACTCTTGAAACAGGTACTTTTAGTTCTTAAATTCAAAACGAATACATGATGTACTCTATGTGTTCTGTATAATTTTGAGTTTCTCTCTTTTCCTAAATTCGAACAATCACTTCGCAGTCTTTTTACACATGCATGTTAACTGACTAATTCTAAAATGTATAAACTAAAACATATACGAATACATGATGTATTCGTATATGATGTATACGAATACATATATACGAATACATGATGTACTCTATGTGTTCTGTATAATTTTGAGTTTCTCTCTTTTCCTAAATTCGAACAATCACTTCGCAGTCTTTTTACACATGCATGTTAACTGACTAATTCTAAAATGTATAAACTAAAACATCTGCATGCTGACTTTACCTAAAATAAAAATAAACAGGTCGCATATTTTATACTCCTTTCGTTGTAATTTAAATGAACTCAAAGTAAATTAAATCAATCTGTTTCTTCTTTTTGAGCAGCTATTTTACTGATAATTTTCTTTTTTATAACAATAAATACATTTATAAAGATTTTTGTGGCATAGTAGGAAGGCATGAGTGCTTGCTCTTGTCTGTATCTTTTTCTTTAATGTGATTGCTCCATGACAATCTACAGAGAGTTTGTGGTATCTTTTAAATCGTCCGTCCATAGGGCATCTTTCTGCTTTTTTTTTTTCGGAGTATAAATTAACGCTGTTCATGATACAGAAACAGACAAGACAAATAGCCATTTGTTGCGATATTCAAATGAGTTTAATGACGACAGAATTTAGTTTTTAGTGTATAGAACTTAATTACTAGATACTGTGATGAGTACACTCAATGTGAGCATGCTAATTGATATCGAGAATTTTAAACGGTAATTGGAAATCTACATTTGAAACTAATAATAATGCTAGGAGTTTCATTAAAAGTAGAAAATTAATTACGTTATATTAATTTTCATGTAGATTTCTGGTGTAAGAAAACTAAGCAAGTCCCTAAAATTAAAGTATTTATATCTTTCGTAGATATAACAGAGCTGATTAATTTGCTGCAATAATGCAAAATGTGCAGATTAAAACATTTTATGTCAAGACTTAAAAAAATAAGATTCTTACTTTTGTACTTCTAAAGTTGTTCATTCGATGATGTATATTATGATTCGATAATTATATTAAGTCAATGATAAAAATACTATCCATTGTTTTTGGTACCAAATGATAAAAAATGTTATCCAATAAAGGACAAATTTAAATAAATAAGTATTGATACTAAAATTTTTGCTGTCGTTTCATAGCACCGCCAACTTCTCCTATAGTTCAAATAGAAGGCACTACATCATCGAGCATTGAAATTAGTTGGAAAAAGGACACCAAGGACAAATCTGCAGTACCAGGTAATTTTCCAGACTTTCTTCTGAGGTATAATTTATATTATTGCCTTAGATGAACGGTCAAACGGATTTTTTACTTCTAGTATTTATAGTTAAATTATTTCTGATGCTAAACTATTCAGTATTACTTATTTCATAAATTTTAAATAATTTTGTGTTTTGATATATGCTGCATGTTTTCATTAGTTAATTTAAAAGGAGAGAACCAGAAATGTTTAAAGTGTTTTTTTATCTGTCGGTTCATTTTAGTTGTTAAATTGATATAAAATATATATTTTTTGTAAACGTAAAATAAAAGGAAAGATAATGTGACATAATATGACTAAGATAATTTTCCTTAATAATAAATATCTCAAAAGCTTAACAATGAAGGACGTGTTCAACTAACCTCGGCTTCACAATTAAGCTATTTTGAAAAGGTAATAGGCCCAGCTTCATCCCTTTTTAAACTATATCTCTGATAGGCAGTGAAGCTTAAATTATTATTAATCAGTGTAAGACTTAAGGGGACTCATACACCTTAAACCCCCTCATGATCTTCGAATATGTGACTGTTGCAGGAATTGAGATATTTTATTTATTTTGAAAGCAATTACTTCCAACTTTTTACAGCTGACTACATATTTTAGCTGCTTTGGAAACTAGTAACCAGAAAGTTTGTGTTGCCACAAATATTTTTATAATTTAATACACTTTGTGACAAAATATTTCGCCATGTTTCCATCTTGCGCGCATGATATTTTAAAAATGTCTTAATGGTACATACTTGAAATTTGATGGAATTCTTTATATGGGCACTATTTTCTAACTGAACTAACAATCTGATGAATATTTTAGTACTGAAAAATTTTATGGACGGAAACATTACAAATTTTTTTAATAAAATACATTTTATAAACTCAACTCCAAATAAAATAAAAATTTAACATGAAATTTTTAGAATTTTAGGTTCACAGTAGTTTTCAAATGTTACAAAGGCTATATATTAAATATGGAATTAAATTATGAAACAGAATGTTTTAAACTGTGCGCGCAAGTTGGAAACATGACGAAAAATATTGTCACAAAGCGGATTAAATTATAAAATATTTGTGGCAACACAAACTTTCTGATTACTATTTCAGAAAGCAGCTATATTATGTAGTCAGCTGTAAAAAGTTGGTAGTAATTGCTTTTAAAATATATAAGTTATCCCAATTCTTGCGACAGTCACCTATTCGAACATCATATGGGTTTTAAGGTGTATGAGTCCCCTTAAATTGTTATTAAAAACCAGTATTAATTTATCTTTAATTAAAATAAAAAGGTGTGAGCACTTTCAGAAGCATGTATTAATTAGAGTAAAAATGCCACAAAACCAAAACTCGGATGCCAAAATTAGTATATGTAATCTTAGAAACAATTTAATTACTTTTAGTTATTCCTTTCCTTTAAAAAATAGTAGAAGTAAAATTTCTAAAATGAAAGTACTGTATCATAAAGCGTTTATATAACGTGTTTTAAGCTTTAAAATCCTGCTTACAGATTAATTGAGCACGAAATAAACTTACAAATTGCTATGAAAAGGAAATAACCTCGGAATACTTATATCTGTTTTTTCGGGTTACTTTGTCTAGCCTTATATGTTTAGAAATAAATTCCTTGACAGGGTTTGGAGACATATTTTGCACATATATTAATAACAATGAGTATTTTAACGTTGCTTTTTCCAGTTATTTCGAAGCATTAAAATACATTAAATTTCATATTTGCTGTATGAAACTGCACTGATGCGTGACATCGAAATGTATAAAACTTATTCGAAAAATATGTTCACGGGCAAAACATACCTTATTCGTACAAAAAATAATAACCGAGTAAACCGCTTCATAGGTAGCTGGAGGAACTAAGTACTTGAAATTCTTTTTATAATGGATACGCTTCCTAAAGAAAAATGCAAAATGAATCAACAAAAACATTCAGAAATTGATTTTTAAAGTAGTATGTAAATTTAACGGGATTATTCTTTGTTTTTTTATTGCTTTCTAGAATCAAGGGCATGTTAAAATTAGATTGACTAGAATTTCCAAACAGCGTAGCAATTTATTCTATTCCATTTCTTCAAGAAGAAAATAGTTTTTAAGTTTGTATAAATCTCCAACTCAAAATTTTTCTGTTCGTTAAATTAATTGTGATTCTTTCATTACAAGTAAAAAGAACTGATACGTTACTTTTATAAAACCTGGAAACACATGCGATAATATATCTTGTTCCAAGTTTAGCTTTTTCCTGTATAATAGTTGGAAAGAAATTAAAATAGCCAGAGCTTTGCGTGACGCAAAATGATGCAAATATTCATGCATTTATTAATTTTAGTTTGGTTAAAATGTTTTTCTTAAGATAGGAAGATAAAACATGCCTTTCATTTATAAAATTTAATCAAGCGAAAAGAGTACCTAATTATAATTATGTTTATCAAGTAATCATTTACGTTAGTTAAGTTATATATTACTGTCTCACTTAAAAGTCAGCCGTTTGAAACGTTGAGGGGAGAAAAGGAATTTGAAACTGCATATAAATAAAAGTTAAGAAAAGTTTGAGAGTCTGCAAAGCTGTATCAGATTTGTTTACGTTTCAAATTGCATGTGAAAGTGTAAATTAATCTACGAGTCGTATTTAGGAAAATGCATACATTTTCTGAGGAATCTTTACACTAGTAGCCAAATAAATAGACCCGCTGATTAATTATGGAAAAATATTGGTCTTTCCTGCGCGTGTTAGAAAATGTGAGATATGGATTTTTACGAAGTACTTCGTGTTGTCGTAAAAGAGAGATAATTTGCAGCATAAATCTTCGATTACTTTGCAGGCCATAACAGGAACTATGCGCATTTCTAGATCATTCTTTGTTAATTGTTGATTGTGAAACCAGTGAATAACTTCAATGCCTTTTACAATACAGTCACGTTTCTGTAAATCTAGAGAATATGCGTATTTAGAAGAAATATTTTCTTAGATTAACGTTTCAGTAATGTTTTCGAAATTTAAATTTTAGTAACACGACAGTGAAAGCTTCCAAAAGAGTTCCAAAGTGCGGTAACATGCGATGGACAATAATTTCAAGAGAATTACTTTTCATTATTCTATTACCGATATTAGATTTATGACTATAATGTGTGTGCTAATATTCACAAAGCAATATTTCTAGAAGAAGCAAAATCATTACAATTACAGAAAATTTACTATATAATTTTTCTAAAATAGAAGGCTCTTTTATTATACTTAGCGTTTCAAATACCCAAAGACTGTATTATGTATTTTACAATCAAAACTTCTAAATTACAAGGTCTTGTTCTTGTGTTAGTATCTTCTTTTAGCACTGAAGCGTTCATCATCCTGAGACAGTGAATACTTTAAGACTCTAATTACTGCTTTGCAAACTATGGTGCAAACGAAATTAAAATTTGGGAAAATTTCTTTAGCTTTATGCTAAATAAATGCTAAATAAAGACCCCCCTCCCCAACCACACGTTACTAGATCTAGATTATATGCAGAATGTTGAAAAGTTGTCAGATGGATTTAAGAAAGTGCTGCTAGTGCATAGAAGTAGCATCCAAATATGCGCTGTTCTGAAGACAACCTATTGTTTCGTTAAAACCTTTGTTTCAAAACGTTTACATCCTAATTATTATTTACTTTCCACCTGTAATTGTTCTGTGCTGATATCGCCATGCCTGATTATATTTATGGCTATGAATCCGGAGAAGAAACTTATTTTCCCCTATTATGCATAGTTTTATTGCAATTTTGTTTTAGTCTCTGTACGCTTAAACAACTCTGTTATTTGAATTATTGAAAAAAAAGTAAAATAATTGCAGCGAACCAATTATATAAATCGTAGTTAGAAATACCTTATATAAGTAGAAAAGACTATATTATATTTGCAGAGGAGATGTTACACAATTGTTTGAATAAAAAATATTTTGAATTAAGGGTTGTCATGGTATTGCCTTTTGCCTATTAAGCTACGTTTATTGCTTTTTGTTTTATCTAATACATTACTATTTTTATTCATATACTACAAAATCCATTAATCTGTAACCATATTAATGTTTCGAAATACTGATATGTTTCTCAGAGTTTCTTTAATAACTTGAAAAAAGCGTTTCCACTTACTTCCAAGTATTTTCTGGAAATCATCTTAGACGTAAACTAGAAAGAAATGAGTTACATTCTTTGTTGGAGTAGAGATTTGAAGCTTTGTACTAAATATTCATTTGTGCCTCACAGTCAATGTCTTCCTACCCAGAAAATGAGCAGTGCTTACCCTTAAGGCAATCTAAGCTTCAAGTACATTAACACAGATATGCAGGTTTTCGTCTAGCATTAAATGTTTAATGTTCAATTATACGAAAGTATTTCCATTTAATCTGTATATGAAAGCAAAATGAAAGTTTCAGAGATTCTTTTCGATAAACAAAATTTTTTTTCTGAATTTCTTCAGAAACTGTTGCGATTTTACAGGAAGCAGTGTTAAAAATTCGCTTTGGTTAAAAACGTTATCTACATGAAATACTGCTGCTGCTGCAAAAAGTGATGAAACTATTTTAGTGGATAATGTTTGTGCTGCCAGTTTTTATTCTTTGCTGCGTTATCCCACTTGATCAAAAACATGGAAGATTCGAATAAATACTTTGCTCGCCATATAACAGTCAGCATGCAAAATAGAGCCCTGTATTTCCTTTTATATATTTAAGTCCCTTATTTTAATTACTCTTTTCAAAGCATTTTATAAACATTTCAAAAGACATGAAAGAAACAATTATATAAATTTATCTTTAGTACTGCGGGTGTGTTATTTTTCAATTATTCGGCTGAAGAGAATTTTTAGTGTAATTGCCTTTTCAGTGTGAAGACCCCCCTCCCAAACCACACGTTACTAAATCTAGATTATATGCAGAATGTTGAAAAGTTGTCAGATGGATTTAAGAAAGTGCTACTAGTGCATAGAAGTAGCATCCAA